TCTTCTGTCACAAAAGCATAATGAAATGGTTTTTTAAACAATATCATTGTGTTGAATTAGGTGGATTTTAAATATTTTTTTCAAGCTTAAAAATATTTTAAAGTTTACATTTAGTTAGTAAATTTCATTTAATTTCCTTGAAAACATGTGATTTACGTTAAATATTATTAGTTTTCAAAAATTAATGTTTGTAATATTTTGCCACTCTCCGTTAACTTCAACAACTTTCTATATTAGATATTGTTTTTTTCTCAAATTTTCCGCTTTCCAACGATATATTATACTTTTACTTTCTAATTAGTATTTCCGAAGATTCATTTTCGATCTGGATATGCGTTTTAATTTTTCTCCTTTATTAAAATATCAAATTCTTTCAAAAGTTATATTTACCATTTTTTTTGTAACTCTTAATAATGAGAGATAGTTAATTATTTAAAAGAAACCATATTTAAGGTACTTTAGAGGAAGATGTATATGAACATTGGGCATTTAAGCCCTGTAAAGTGACATAAACGGGGATAAGACCTGAATGTTATTAAAGATCACTAAATTATACAATGATACACCGAGTTTAATCAAAATCGTTAGAGCCGTTTTTGAGAAAATTGTAAAAATGTTATTCAGCGTTGATATAAAGTGGCACTTCCGATTAGCCAATTTTAAAGAAAAAGTTACTGTCAATCTAAGGCATATACCATATAAATACGTATTTTCGTTTTTGAGCTAGACTGTTAACATACACACACACAGATCAGTTTTTGGGACTTGGTTATTTGGACTTAGGGTACCCCAAAACGTGTATTTTCGTTGAAAAATCCCGAAATTTTCACGATCGCAATACTTACCCTTACTATATATTACATATATACGTAAGGGAAAGTAAAAATACCCACAATGAAATATAAATCAATATAGCGCTTAAAATGTTTACTTTTACTTTCCCTTTGTCTGGAAATACTTATTTCTGCTAAGAAGAATATGGACGGTAAGTGAATGTTGTGTGATGCGCGCGCCGCACCAGATTTTTTAAATTACGAAATCTGAGTCTATAGTATCTAGTGTTGCATCTTTTCTTGAATAACGGCCTGTACTCTTGTAGGTATGCTGCAAATAAGGTGGTTGCCCGATCTTGAATTTTATTCCATTCACGTACTTGGAGATCACATAGAGGGTTCTGTTGTCGACGGATGTAAGGCCTAAGCTGGTCCCGAAGATGCTTAGCAGGATAGAAGACCGGGCTGCGAGTTGTTCTATTCCAAGGTGTGCATACTAACCTATTTTGTGGTCTAATTAGTCTCGTACAACAGCTTCGGTATGCGGCCGATTATTATCCTGCAAAAGGTGACGGAGGGCGATAAACGGGCCAAAAGTTACCACGTATTCCTAGAGAATGTCGGTAATGTACGTTTGTACATTGATCGTCGGCCTTCAGAACACATAGACCCTTCTCTGAAATGCACCCTTCTCGCTATATTGCTGACTTGTTTTTTTTTTCCATACTAGAAATTGTCCGTCTGCATCCTAGCGTGCAGGTTGAGTTAAGCAAGCCTTCTCCTTGCTGTGTGCGTGTTGACATCCGTACCCTGAGCAATATGCAATCGATGAGAAGTCTGGTAGTAGTTTCTGGGGATCTCCATAGCAATGAAGCGCCTATCAGCTGGACGGCCTCCTAGCCGAGCTTCCTGCCTCCAGGCACCTCTGAACTGCCCGTTTTTTCAAGCATCCGTATTTTGTTTTTTTCTAGAAAAACCAACATAAAATCAAAACCAATGCAATTGAACAGGCAACTGGAGACATACTGATATGAGATACACGCTCTATTCTTATACTCTATTCTTTTTATGGTAATCCCCATTGACCTGTCATTACTTGAGGCTCAAAAATATTTCTTTAATATGAGGTTTTATGTAAAATTCAAGGTGCGCCGGTGTATTTGTTTATCATTATCTTTGAATAGAAATGACAATTTAAATTTAAAAAAAAAGGCAATAAAGTAGTTACATATCTACTACTAGACCACCCTTGGAATGCAGCAGCACATGCAGAGTGGGCAACAAACATCTAGTGTAGCACACATCAGCCAACATGTACAGACAGGTATGAGGAAGGACATTGCCCAGCTGGTACCTGCGGTTGATAATGGCTCCATCATATTAATTGTAGCAATTAACTAGTTAAATAAACTCATCCAACCCCTTTTTAGTATTCTTCGACAGTTGTCTCAGGTTACACAAGCCTTGAGTGCCAATTATTGCCCATAATCATTTAACAGTCGGTTCCTTGTCAATTATCGTATGGAATGTAAATGACTTGGAACAGCTTAGTACTGAACTTGACTTGTACTTGCATGAGAAACAGATTGATATAACACCCATCACTAAAACACACCAGACACCACGAACAAAATTTTATTTTCCTGGCTACAATCTTTACAGGACTGACCACCCAGACAAAACTGCAATACTGATTAAGGCTTCATTTACACGCAATCCTATACTTTTTTTTTTTTTGTTTCCCCTTCCTTATCTTTTAGGCTCCACAGGTTTTCTCCTGAACCGGCCGAATTATGCTGAGTTAAAAGTTTCACCAAGCACCACTATTTGAACTCTTAATTATTTGTTTATCTCAAAACTTCGGTTATCAGGTTGCCATAAACACCCATTAATCCGCTCGGCCACCGCGCTCTATAAACTTAACTATCACACCAGATATACAATCTACAGAAATCACTCTATACCCTAAACACTACATTATAACATTTGTCATCAGTTTATTGCCCTCCTAGGTACTTGCATTCACCCAGGATATTTTCTAAGTTCTTTAAACGTCTTGGAGAATGCTTCATCACAGGTGGTGACTGTATATAGTCCTATATGCCATTAGTATTTCCTGGTATCCTTCCTCTTCCAAGTCATTCACTCCCTCAGTCTTTCATACATCTCCGAGCTCCTTCAATTTAAATCCTCTGTCCACTCCTGCAATACCCATTCCCGGTCTTCAGATTTATATATAATGGCCCACCGAACCGCTGCTTTTGATAAATCTTTTATTATTTGATCCTCATCCCTATGGAACTCCATCCCTCCAATACTCCCTACTTTTAAATCTATTCAATCATCTTTCCAGTCCCTCTAAAATTGTAAATAGAAACTTCTGTAAATATGTATATATATATTATTAGTTTATTTCCAATTATTTTCATCTCATTGTTCTTTCATTTTTTTCTTATTTGATTTAAATCTAGAAGATAACTTTTTTTTTCTCCATTATATCTGTTATTTAACTTAGTAAATACATGTATATATATCTGAGGCTCAAAAGCCCACATTTCTGTCCTTGTTAATTATTCTAAAGGGATTCGTCCCAGAATAAATAAAAGATTATTATTATTATTAATACCTGGCATTATATTACCATGCATCAAGGCTCAGTGGGGTTCAAGGTTGTGAATCCCAAGAGGGAGAAATCTGTGGTCTGTCCTTCATTAATTTTCAAATGACAAGATGGTAAACTCCTGTCATACTGATTTCTTTATTACTAGAGGACTAAGAACTGTTGCCGTCAATACAAGCTCTGATTTTGGCACATGGTTCTCTTCAACAAGCCATTTAAGGCACAAAAAAGACCTAAACTCATAAAATACTCCATGAACTGGGACGCTAATAGAGGGAATTTGAACTCCATATATTTGTTCCAGATTCAATAAAAAATCAAGTTGGTTAAGGCTGTTTGACAATTTATTGATTGTCTGATACGGATTTGCTTCCACTTCCATCCTTAGCATGTCATTGTAGATCTTCCTGATAGATATGAGCCCGAAAGATCAAAAGTACGGGATTTGAAATTGGAAAACCACCTTTAGCATTTACCAACCTCTCATGCATTTGGATTAACATCACAACTGTTGTTACTACCCTTGCGAAAGTAAAAAAGCATGCAATGATAGATATGTACCTCTTCTGTTATTTGCCTGTCCGTTTCATCCGAAATTTCAAAAAAAATTATTTTCAAGTTAATTATTTACAAGTAGACAAGTCACTATAGCCTTAGAATGTCTTTGCCAGGACTTAGGTGTACACAATAACCTGACAAATAACTATCAAATTGTGACATGCGAAGAAAGAACATTCCGGTGGTCTCCTTAATACTAGCACTGATCAGATTACTCCAGTTATTGTATGAAGAATGTTTCACTCAAATATTTCAAAACTTCTTTCTAAGATGCTGGTTAGTGTTCAGATCTCGCAGACTGAAGATTAATTGTTATAAATGAATTAATCTTGACAAGACTAGTATTATGAAGATTCTGATTTCAATCTCTACTCCTTCAAATTATGTAAAAAATAAGATTTAAGTAGTACATAAGCACTAACTCTGTCTCAGTAAATTGGAGTTTGATAGGATCCAGGGTTTACATGCAAATACCTTAGGCAGCAATCACAATTAAACCTAAATATAGATCCCCTAAACTACATTATTACTCAACGCCACAATTTCAAAATATTTTTATTTGACTTTTAGAATGAAGAGTAATATCATTATGTTAAATCTCATATAAGACTAGAAATACAAATCAACATTAAATCATATATTACTGTAACTATAGCTCGCCTACAAGAATATGGAAAATTGAGGATAAATTTGAACAAGAATAAGTTGAAAGTCCCTCAGGAATATTTTAAAAAAATAGGTTCAGTAGAAATATAAATTTTACGTAAATCAAAAAAGTAAAATAAAATTATGAATTCCCATTTATTTAGGAAAATTTATTTTCATGTTGTAAATTATTTTCCACAATTATGGTGAAATGAAAACAACCATGTCATTTATAGATCAACTATTCATAAGATCAATTAAATGTGTGGAGGGGATAAGGTACCCTTACACAGAGTATTCTCATTTCTCCGCTACCCTATTCTTATAGGCGAGCTATAAATTATTTCATTTGGAGGATATAACATTTTGTTATATTAAATGTTTATAAATGAAGAAACTGATAATAAGAATTGTCATATTTTTATTTATACAAAAAATTTGATTGAAGAAAAACAGACAAGAACCCATCTACAAATGTGAATGTGTTTATATGTGTAGAGGGTAATATCTGCATCCTTTACACATATATACATATACACATACACTTTAATTCATATATATATTTATATATATGTATATATTTATATATATACTTATACGTGAAATAAACACGTAATGTAACAAATCACATAAATATTCTCAAATAATCTGAATTGAGCTAATAAACATTTTGAGAAGAATTTCCAATTTGGAAATTTATAAATCTAGGAAAAATTTAAAAATTAATATCAATATACAAAAAACATTACTTTTATATTACATATTCTTGAAAACAAATAAGAGATTTGCTAAAACAAATAAAAATTATGTTACTAACATAAATAAATCAATATCAAACAATCATGAGTCACATTTCGGAAATATATCAAAGTCCTAAAAAAAAGGAACTCAATTATAAGGACAAGCAAATTATACTGTTGCTCTAATAACTAAACTATTAAATCTTTACGTCATTTACAATGTCCGGAAGTGATACATTAGTGATCACTACAAACAATTGCTCATAAAATTTAACTGGAAGGATTATACATACAAAATGTGTATATAATTTAATTTTTTATAATGTATTTTCAAGAATGTCCATGATGAAAATATACATATATGCACATCTGTTCCAAAACTTTACTTTAATCATATAAGAACCAGATGAGTCTCTCATTAAAACTTAAAACCATCACTAGGAATACTCGTGTTTGGATCAAACTGAAAACCTCCATCTGTTGACGTAGGAACTAAACTCACTTCATCTTCAACCTGTAAACAAAATAAAAAAAGAAATTAAGAACTTGAAACTAAATTTGATTTTAAATAAAATAATTTCTAAAAGTGCACTCACACACAATATAAGAAACCTAAGCATTTCAAACTAGATGAGAATTGTTACAGAATAAAGGGAAAAAGTTCTTTTTTTGTAACAATTAATCATTTTTATTACATAAACAAATAATGAGAGTTAAAATAAAAGAATTGCTTCATTGACTTATTAATTTAATCAATAACTTATAACTTAGAGTGGGTGGCCGGCAACCTAATAAACCATTCTTTGCATGATAAAATAATTACCAGTTTGCATCCTGGTGGCAGGGTGAGGAGAGGGAGCATTAATGCTCTGGCCCCGAAAAATCCCAAAGCTTTTTCAGAGATAGATGAAGTGGAGGAAAAAAAAAAAAAAAAAGCATTTTTTTTATTTTTTTACAAAAATTAACACTGAACTTGTGCAAGGTACAACGATGGCCTATTTCGCTGAAACTGCTCATTGCCACAGCCAAATCCTGTTGATTTAGCGTCCTAATTTTAAATAATTAAAAATAATAACGTCATCCTTAAATCTAATGGTTTTCATTTTTATCAGAAGGGCAGCAATATATATTATGGCGGACTTTCGATCTTATCTTGTTAATACATGCTATTTTTTCTGGTAGATAAAGTTGAATAATAAAGATTAGGTTATGTTTTTACTACAAACCTTTAATGATTACATATTAATACCCAGAGTTCTACTATGGTTACTAGTAATATTTTGAATAGAAAATATCAGTCTCATGATAGAAAGAATGGCAGATGTGTCTCTGATTTAAAATTGATTACTTAGTATTAGTATGCTCATTTCAGTCACAAATATCATATATTTGTAATGAAATCACAGCAGACAATGTTTTACCAATAGGTGATCAGTAAATAAGCAATTTAATTAAAGAAGACGAATTGATTTTTCAAGGTCGGGATTTGAGTATTCACCCCTGGTTATTTTTTTTTTGGATTATTTATAATGTCATTTGGATTTAAGTATATATTTGAATTCCTCTATAAAATACTTTTAGTATAAGAAATAATCTTGTAACTTTAATCTTAAAAAAATTATTTACGATAGCTTTATTTAAATGTTTTACTTAATTTTGTCTGGCTTGAAGAAAAAAAAGATAATGAAATGTATCAATGTGATTGTTACGATTAAAACAATTCTCCAATATGATAACATAACCTAGAAATACCGGACTGCCAACAGCTTTACTGCTTCAGGAGAGGTCAGGAAGGAGCAGTCTGGATATGAAGTCATACCTAGACTGCCGAGCAGTGTCAACGAATTAGACTTCTTTTTATTCCACTAAAGCATTACACAATCAACAGCTAGAAGTCGCCAGCAAAATAGTACCTTCAGATCAGGATAAATTATTTCATATGATGCTATGAAGAACTTCTGTAATGGCTTAACTCCTAAGAAATTCATTCCCAACCCAATTTCCTGCTTTAAATACAAGGTCCCAACCCACAAATTTGGATATTCCTTCTCATAGAAATGCTTCATTCAGAAAATTGTTCATCATACAAGCTTTAATATTTAATTAAATATTTTTAATCTAGAGAAGAGATAATGCCAGCTTACTCAATTACAGATCAGTTCAGAGAAAATAAATTTTTGATTTGTTTAACTTATACTCAATTGCAGATCAGTTCAGAGAATTTTTTTTTTAACTACAATGCATTTAAAGAAATAATTAATTAAATTATAACAAAAAAATATTTTTTTAATGGTCAAATGGTTAAATTCACAACAGTTTATAAACTGTTGTTTGCTTTGATAAACAATAAAAAGAAAAAAAATAATAATCTAATTGTCAACCCATTTGTGACTTTTTCTGGATTTCCATTCATATTTGAAATTTATCACACATGCACATAGTTAGTAATTTCTAATGCTTACCAATAAATTTTAATAGTTACCCATTTCTTAAATTTTTAAACAGTAAAAAAGGACTCAAGTATCATTTCTGAGTCTTTAAAGAAATTAACAAGTTTGAGACAAATAAATAAAAAAGTTCCTAAATATTGGTCTATACTTACACAACTTAAACTATTTGTATCAAGCTTATACTGAATCTAGTTTGATTAAAAGATTATTTTTATGAAACTCTTGGTATTCTCAATGACTCTCAACTAATTACAATTACTAAATGCTCCTGAAGTTTTTTTATGAAGAGTTCAATAAATAGTAAAACATGGCATAACCAAAAAATTGTAATGAAAAGTAAAATTATAGCTAAGAAAAGAATTAGTTACCTCCGAAAAATATTGCTCAATGATATCATAAGCTAATTTGTAAATATCAACATTTTCGTGACTCTGAAGTTCTTCAATTTTGTCTAATCCTATAACAAAACAAAAATAAAAATCATCAGTATACACATACACGTTAGTAAGACATAGGGAAAATATGAAAATCAACATGGATACAACAAGAGAAGGTGATCTATTCTCTAGAAAAGAATTTGGAATTAACAGTACAACATTTAATAGCAATGAAAAATAAACACTGACATCACTGCACTATGACTACTAGTAATAATATTTCTAGCCTGGTAATAATAAAGGATACTAAAATAATTGAAGGAAGTTAGTCGACTGTTCTACATATCACCCATGATAATAAAATAAGATTCTTTTTTTCCGACAAAAACTTCGGTGGACACTTTTGTCATCCCGATTACCAAAAATCACAATTTCCAAAATTAAAACAAGAAATGAGATATGAGGATTTAAAATTGAGTTTATAATTTTTTAATAATGTTTTTCCTAGTAAAAATGCAGTTTTAACACACAAAATAATAATAATAGGGTCAATTTCCTGAGTTTTTACTGTACTATTCCTTGTTGCAGGACACTCTGCAAATGGTAATCTAAAATTGTTTTGCTAGGAGGCCTGATGGAAACCCATTAACCCAAGTCCATAAACCAAGGCTCAAAAGGAATAGTCAGATTAAGTGGACAGCAGCCTAGATATTTTTATACAGTTAGGAAGGACCAAAGATGGAGACAAAGCCACTTCATACCAATGCCATATATAGACGAAATAACAACTCGGCAAAAGACAAACTGACAGGACGTTTCTGGAGCGTATAAATCTACTTCCTGTGGTGATAGTAATAATTCTAGTATTTAATAATAATTAAGCTATTCAAATGATATTGTTCTCATTGCGGACTCTGTGGAGAAGTTGCAGCATAGTCTCATTATGGGACAGAGAAGCTCCTTATACCAGGAATGCTTAAATTAATAATATATGAACAAAATTAATAAATCCTACAAGTAGGATCTTCAGGATTAATGAAAAGGAAGTGGTAACAGATTTTGTCTACATTGGAAAAATTATGGAATGGTCGGGGAGAGTGGATTCAGAAATCCTACACAGGATAATTAAGCCAAACTATCTCTACTATCGGATTTTGCAATACTGTGATTGAGAAGTAAGAAAAAGACTGAAATATGAAAACCACATCTTTAAGTCAGTATACTTGTCTGTACAGCTGCATGGAGCTGAAAACTAGAAATTGACAGAGAAAAAAGGGAACAGAGTGATAGTTGCAGAAATGAAAATTAGAATTAGGGAGGAATTAAGAATGCTTTCAACGTAGGAAGTCCTGGAGGCTCACTGGTTCAAGTTATTTGGCTGTTATCCGAATAGAGGAATAATGAGATTATTGTAGACTATGGACTCTGCCCCTAACCGTGAAAGACCTCAAGCCTGGCCAAGGATGTTACTACTGGGGTATGTTGACTATTTATGTAAAAGTAAAATCTCCACCAAGTCAGGAATCTGTCAAGAAACAGAGCAGTGGCAGTCCTGGTTATATTCTCCCCTGAACTAATAGGCACAACAGGATGATGCAAAAAAAGATAAAAGTAAAAATTGTGAATAAATTTAATATGCAAGTATATATTATATCAGTATTACAACTAAATTAGTTCAAAATTTAAATATTAAAGGGTACATACCACCACATTCTTCAATTGTATTAGCAAGTGCTTCAACATTAGGGAAGGCCATTTTAAGCATGTTGTTAATCCCATCCAACACTACATGGATTACTTGATTGTCCTGGCAATCTAGCAGAGCACAGAAGGGAGGAATAACTCCTTCTTGAATAAGCAAAAGCACTTGATCACGATTTCCACTGATAGTTAAATTACTAATGGCCCATGCAGCCTCCCTTTTTGTCTGGAATTCACCCTAAAATATAAAGATAAAATTAGCTTACAATTTTTTAATTAATTTTTAAAATATACAGAATAGAATAGAAATATCAACTTTATACAGGGAAAAAGTCCCCCTATCAATATACATTCTACTATTTTCTAAAATTATATAAGGGATGACAGCTTTCTTATTGGTTAATTATACTAATAGATCAAATATCACAAGTCTAGTTTATCATAAGATAAATACTATACTACTTATAGTTTTTGTTCCATTTGGGTCAAACAACAGATAAACAATTGGCTCTCTCAGCCAAGATTTGCAGTATTTGGAACCCTTTTTGAAATGTTAAGTGTGAAGCCTCGATCGACCCGAAGCACTTGTTTTGCATCAAATGAATGACCACATAGTAAGTCTTTGAATGTTGATACAAAAACTGTATCAATGGCTAGTACAACTTTTTCAATCAAATGTCACTTCCGATCAAAAGTAATATACAAAAGGCCTTCATAAATGCTAGTTTTTTTTTTTTTACAGATTTCTAATCTACCCTTAGAACTGATAGAGGCTTGTTAACATAAAAAATGTAGAAAATGAATGTGTAATACCAAAAAAATTATTATATTTAAATATAGATATGACAGTTATTGTAAATTTTGACAATTGGTGACATAGTACAAAGTCAAGGTAAATAATTAAACAATAAATAGTAAATAATTCACTTTAAACATGTATGTTTTCAGTAAATATAAAGGAATCTCTGAAGATGGCAAAATTATCCCCGAAACGTCAGATGTGATTAAAAAGATTAAAGATAAAAATGGAAGTTTAATTGCCTTAACCTTAAAAATAAAAAAGAGAGTGCGCTGATATATGACTTTTATTTATATATATATATATATATATATATATATATATATATATATATAAATAAAATAAAGGTTTCATCTGTGAATTGAATAGTATCAACCCGTTTCATGATATCTTTCCGTTTCATACATTACACACACCAAATCCACTTTAAAATTTTTTTTTGTCTGTATGTCTGCAGTACCCAACAAAATTTTGTCATGGACAAGCTCAGCAATGGCTAATGGCATACTTTTAAAATGTTGACATTATATTTAGGTTTGCTTGACTTAAAACATAGGCTTTAAATGAAAACAAAATTCTGAGTAGAACCCAAGTTATGAATCCTTGAGTAATTTCTTTAGAGATCCCAGTTAGGCAGTTACTTACTTCGATTCTCATCCCAACCTCTACCTACTGCAAACCTCTACTCTACTCTCCTGCAAGCCACATTTAAAAGTTGTACTATTCAACTGATGGAAAAAAATTACCACAACTCAATTTGTTTAATATAAAGCTTACGATATATTTCAAGTTAATTGAAGTAAATTTAGAACGATTAAATTAATTAATTCAAAAAGATATTTGAATAACAATTAAATTTAGAAACAAGTTTTATTCAATTGAAGTTATTTCGATTGTTGTAAAAAGACCGAAGCAACAGAACACTTTTTTTAATATCCCTTCGATCTCACCCCACTCCGTTACTCCTATTCTCCTTTCGTTTGTTGTCCCTCTCTCTCTATCATTCTCAGTATACTTCCACCGGTTAAACTGTAAGGAACTAACCCTTGATAAAAACCGAAAATATTTGGAACTTTTGGATTAGATTATTGATATTGACATGAATTACTGAATTATTGTTTCAATATAATTTATTGAAACCGTATTTGGATGGACGATTATAACAAACTTGGAATTTGATCTGGCTTCATATATTGAATTATTTGGACTACAATTTGGTACCAACATCCTTGGGTTTTGTTTTTCTTTGCAGTTTACTTGGAATTTGACCAGTCTTTGTATTTTGATAATGAATTATTGGAATAACATTTGGTACGAATTTCTTTGGGTTTTATAATTTTTTTTCTACAGTTACTTGGTACTTGACCTGGCTTTGCCTTTTGATATTGAACTATTGCAATAAAGAATAGGTACTGTATCAGTCACTTTTCATTGAACCAAATTTTGTGGGTTTTAAAATATTTTCTACAGACAATAAATCTTATAAAAATCTTAAGACAATAAAAAAAAAAAGTGGTTTAACACAATGTGTCCTGGTGTGTCCCCAGGATTTGTTGTAGGACAAGTAAATGTCGCGCTTTGAAGGGTACTGTGAAACCTTGATTATCTTTCTCCTAATTTACTATTTATCTCAATTGTAAAGCTTTTAATATAATATTGCGAATTATTACAAAATACTCAATCATTCATAAATAGTTAAATATGTGGTCAGTTCACTCACACGACTTTCCTAACCTTGGTATGTATAAGATTTCTTTTATTTTATTTTTTCTAAATGTTTCCGAAGAAGTATAGTTCGAGTTATCATGAAACTAAAGAAAGGAAAAAATATGGGTTTCGATGGATTAAACAAAAAAAAAATTAAATTACCATTAAGATATTTTCAAGGGAAAAAAACAAATAAATAAACCAGAAAATATAAAATCAATTCGCTGGTACAACGATATAAAATTATTTTTATTAACTAAGAATCAATTTGTTAAACAAAAAATCTAAGATCAATATATTATGAATATAATAAATGGACAATAGAAAACAAATCTTCACTCACCTTAGAAAGATTATGGATGATTTTAGGAATTAATCCTGCATCGATTACAGCTTGTACCTGATGCTGATTGCCAGCAGTTATATTTGATAAAAACCATACTGCTTCCTGAAAATTAACAAGAAAACATAAAACAAAACACATTTAAAATATAACATGATTGAACCAAATTAAAAATAACATGTTAGAAATTTAAAATTCCTTCGACTAAAAAGAAACAAGAAAAATAAATAACAATTTCTCAATGAACACTTGACATCAACATTTACACATTTTGAACTAGACTACTTTTTGTATAATGTAGTAAGATTGTTTCGAAATATTATTTAAACACATTAGAATAATCTACATAACAGAGAATAGTTTAAATGACATTAATAAGCACCAAGGATATTACGTAACAAAATGAATAAGGATTTCTCTGAACATAATTAATGAAGAGTGGAGATATATTAGCATACCATCCAAAAATGAAATATCCTGAACCAAATACCGGATTCAGATAAAATAAGAAATATTAACATTTTATACTAAAAAAAAACACTGAAAAATACCTTGCATATTTTTTCTTTTGGATGCGACAAAAGAGCTGGAAAATGAGAAAGAGCATCACAATTCAGAACAACTTGGGTTTGTTCATCAGTTCCAGTCACTATGTTACCTATGGCTCGTAAAGCAGCAGTTTGCACCTGTACCAAATAATTTAGTATTAAAAAAAAAATTAGCGTCAAGGTCATTTAATAGACCTAAATTTTGTGGTAATTGAATCGACTAAAAATTAAAACTTTTTGATAGAAAAGTTCTAAATGAAATAAAGAGAGAAAAAATTGAAAATTAATAACTTATCATAGATAGTAAATCGTATAATAAATAATGAACTATTTTAACTATAAAATCCATTTAAATATATTTACCTTAACTTCTTTGTGCGAAAGAAGAGGGATAAGACTAGGAATGACTCCACTATCAATAACCATTTGTATTTGTTCATTACCACCATCTGTTAAATAGCTGAGAGCCCATACAGCATCTACAAGAATCTGAAAATGTAAAAGAAGCATTGCTTAACAATAATCTTAAACTACTTTTTTTTAGATTTAACACAATTAAATAGTTCACCAAGAGAAAAAAAGGGATATTTTATTTATAAATTATATGGAAAAGAGGGCTGATCTCCATTTTATGGAACCAACTACTATAAAATTCAACCTTAAAGAGAAATTGAAATATCACTTATTACAGGGCGTATCATGCTGAAGTACTGTTTAAAACTATTAATAGTAAAATTATTTCTGATTAGTTCAATAGCAGCCACAAAAGCAATTTTAAATAATCATTTTTTTTATGTCAATATATTATTTATTTATTTATATTCAAACATCAAACTTTACATACTTCTTTATATCTAATTGAACATTAAATATACATAAGTAATCCAAATTCTAAAAAAATATATCTCATCTCAAAATCAAAGGTTGTCCCAAAATTAATACATTAACTAACAAGCAAAAACAAAATATGAATAAAAACTTATTGAATAATATTAATTTCTATATAAGAATTTATTAGAGTATAGCAAAGGGTAAAACAAATTGGTGAAGTCCAAGGATATTAATAAGAAAAAAAAAATGTGCCGTTAAAGTAAAACTTTGTTGGCATTGCAGTAGATTTTATGATTAAAGTAAAAATAATTTAGTCATGTTATAATTTAATAGTGCACTTTGATAATGTAATTTATACGGCAACATAAATTTGTATACTTATGCATATCAAGAATTTATTGTTGTTGTTTGATTATTAATTGCTACTGATATTTGGCATATAATATATAACATTTGGAGGTCAGTTAATGGTATTATTTATATTAATATTATTAAACGTAACTTTATTTATATTGTCAAAAGACAGAACCACCACTAATTGATCTTGGATTACTTTGATGTTTCAAAGAAAATTTAAACCAGTAAAGAACAATTAATAATGAAAAAACAAAAATTAATAATCTATGCATATATATATATATATATATATACTTTATAATTATGTGACTTTCAGTGGCTCTGAGTAAATTATATTAACATATATTGTTAAACCCTAACATGACTTATTTTTTCTTTAATCATAAAATCCACCATATGATGTTAAAAAACTTTTACTTTGATTGCAGGTAAAGGTTAGATGCTCTGATTTGTATTTTAAATGAGACGTACCATTTAAATTATAATAAAATATTTAAAGCCAGCTGTGTTATGACTACATTATATGAACTCACCAAGGCATTCAGTTACCACCCTAATGCAACTAAAGAAGCTTCATTCAAAAAAGTTATTTTTTTTTTTGTAGTTAACAAACCAAATTTTAAGGAAATTAAAATGAATTACATTGATGTCAGTATGATGGATAAGGACGTTGAGGGCAGGAAGAATATCCGATATTGTTTTCATAGGAGGAGCTGGATCTTTATTTCGACATAGGTTGACTATCACCCACGTAACATTCCTAAGAAATGAAATAGGCGTTTCTTGTTTGATAAAAGCCAAAAGTGGTGAAACGACACCAAGATTAATAACGTAATCACGAAGTCCTGGCCCATCCCCAATTATGTTACCTACAACAACATTATAATAGTTAATATAATATGGCTGGGAACAAATACAGTATGTATCATACAACACGTATAAAAAAAAATTAAATGTGATTTTACCATAGTAAAAAAATGACTAACTTACCAAGAGCCCAAACAGCCTGCTCACACACGGTTTGATGAACAGAAAACAGTAATTGCAAAAATAGTGGAACCGCTCCAGCAGCAACGACAGCTTGAGTTTGATTGGAAGTACCAGAAGCAATATTAGTCAACGCCCATGCTGCCTCAAACTGCAAAGTGGGACTAAAAAATAAGATTCACTTTAATAACAAATGAAGTAAAAACCTTTCTCATTCATTGTAAAGCTGTGTGATCCAAAATAAAATGACAAGTGAAAAATTCTAAACACATACTTTTCCTGATTTTCTAAGCATCGAACAAGAATTGGGAGAATGCCACTATCAATTAATGCATCGATAGGGGGGTTGCGGTCAGAAGATAGTAGCTTTCTAGCTGATTGGACTGCTTTAAGTTGTATTTCAGGATCAGCACTACCAGCTTCATTTACTAATTCATCTAAATTTATAAGAGATAAATTTCTGTCATCGTCATCATCTGAAACATTAAAAATTAATTATTGTATATAAAATGACTAAAAATCAACTTTAACTATTATGATAAGTTAATAAATTCATTACCTAGTTAATCACGATACCAAGAGAGGAGAAAGATATCATAAAAGGACGGATCAATAGTTCACAATAAAGGTTATATAAATTTTAAAAAAACTTTAATCACTCGTAAATTTTAATGATAATTCTTTCATTATTATCGAGATCACTGTTGAATGCAATAATCATAAAATATTAATAATAACCATAATAGGCCAATGGAATACCACTAGATCAAGCCCCTAGGTATTAACTGCTGGGGCACTTTTTTCATATAAACTTTTTATATGGTATAAATTAAATTCTTATAATTATTATTTTTGTTAGAGGGGGAGAGAGACGCACAATGGCAAAACATTTTCCTGCTGATCTGCCACTCTTTTGTCTTCTCTACTCCTACATAGAAAAATAGGCTGTGTAAACACAGCAATTCATTTGATTCAAGTTAATGCAGTACAGTCTTCAAGAATACATAATGAGGAAAAGTGGAGCTTGAATTTGAGTGGGGAAAACTGCATGAGCTCCCTTCACCTACAGGCAAACTTATCTTAGATGTGCTCAAAGATAGGCAAATGCTACTTTGAGTACCAAGTTTTTACTCAAATTGAATCATTATTGGGAATTCAATCACTGCTTGAGTTAATTGTTTGACATAGAATGAAGTAGTAAATTCTTTGGTACTCAGAGTAGCATTTGCACATTTCTGGATGCACTGTACAGTAGAATCCCGATAATTCAAATTGTCAAGTGGCCAGGAGAAAATACAAATTATCGACGTTTTCAACAATAATAATTTAAAAAAAAAAACAAGGAATAACAAAATTAATACAAAAATTTATCAACCAAATATTACAATTTTAATTGTTTTTTTAAACTCATTTATTTGCTTTTGATGTAATTTGTGAAGACGGGATCTTCGTCAAGGGTGTTAAAATTTACGAATCAATCAAGCCAACTATCACTTCTTAGAAAATCTTTTAATTCCTATTTTTTCCAGCAAAAACATTGGATTTTTCCTTTAAAATGTTATATTCAATTGACAAGTTAGAATAACATGCTTGTGTAAACCATAACTTTAAATGGTCTTCTAGTTATGGGTACTCGACTGTCTTGAAACAGTTCAATTTACTGCTCTTAGCCTGAGAGGCAGTTTTATCTTTGTTCTTAAAATATATTTTATTGTCAATGTCAACACTAAATTTTTTTGTCACAACAATTTGTTTTTCACCACTGGCCAAGACTCTGTCTGATCTCTTGTTTTTCCTTAATGAAAAGAGATAGTGTGACCGCAGAGACATTTCAAAATAAAATTGTAACATAACATCACATTTGACGAAAAGAGAGCACTAAAATAGAAAAGAATAGGTAAATAAACAGAAATTCATAGAAATGATAATCTCTTACTCTCCTCTCCTTCTCTTAAAAGGATTAAAGACCCAATATTTTTAATCCAAAATGTAAGATGTTTAAAATGCAATGAAAACGAAAATAAATACTAAGTATAAACTGAACCAAATTACATTGTTTTAATACGAATTAGAGGGATGCCATAGGGAGGTGGCGGTCCTATCGCTTGGTCATTGTAATACAGTCAGCAATTGGTCCTCCAGGTTGGAAGAACACCTTCATACACAAACACACTTAGTATACACCACATCATAACACCTCCCACTGCAGACAAAGGTTACACACAGAACACCCTTGGTTCATCTCCCCAGAACAACGGAGTTTGTCTGGTTACTCTGAGGAAGCAGTCTCTCCACCTGACTCGGGGATAGTGGACTGATAACTTGCTCCACCTAAATCAACCTATCCTAAGATCTAACATGACAATGTTGGACAATTTAATGGTAACAGACGTGGACTTCAAACTTGGTTTTTAGAATATTTTATCATTATACAGACTGGGAGGGCTTCAAGTCCTTACAGTACTTGTCAAGTGCAAATTAGACATAACTGTTATCCGAGAGATCCGTTGGATGGACCAAGGGCTTATAGAGAAAAGATATCGTATTATAGCCACCACGTTAGAAATCACACCTTTGCAGTTCTATTTACCATCAGGGGAGGGACGAGACTGCAGGTTTATGTGTTCATCGAATCAAAGTTACTTTCTACAACTACTTTCTCATAAGTTGTCACACATCCACAGGGACATGAGGCAAGGATGAAAAGGACGAATTTTATAATGAACTTGAAGGAACATTTGATATATACCCAAGAAGTGACAACAACATCTTGTTGGGAGATTAATGCAAAGATACGAAGGAAGGAAGCTTATTGGCCTACCATAGCACATCACAGCCTGCATGAAGAATGCAACAATAACGGGAAAAGAGTAATTGAATTAGCCATATCAAGAATCATGGTTGTTGAAAGCACTCTTTTTTCTGGACAACGAATTCACAAGGCCACATGGAGATCCTCAGATGGCCTTATTTTTAATGAAATCGACCACATCCTGATAATTGTCCGTCGTAGATCTGACCTTCTTAACACCAGAACTTTCAGAAAAGCTAACATAAGGATATTTGGAACGGCCTAGAGAAGGCTCTGGGAAATTAGGTTACGAGGTTTTGGGTAAATGATTACCACGATTCTATTTCATAAGAAGTTGTTTTAAATAGAAGAATTGATAAAACCTAAACCAGCCTTTTTATTGCCATCTGGAACTTATTCGAAATGATTAGAAACTGATTAAAAGTTTATTTCAGAATCATATCCTACTGGCAAAAAAATAAATAAATAAAAACCACTGTAATTAATATGATAAGTATCCAATGGGTTAAGATTTTACTGTCATTAATATATCCTATATTTAATTAAAAGCATAACACATTAGTACTTCAACCGCAGCAAAAGATTTATGGAACATTAACGGGATTTAAATTGTTAGTAGTATACTGATTTAAGAGTTAGTTGTATACTTTTTGAGTTATGAGAAAATTAAGTTTCTTTTACTACTTCATCAATTTTTAAAATTGAAATTTGGAGATGGATGTGTATATTTTTCTCACTTGAAGAAATATAATCTTCAAAATGATGGCCGAATGATTGGATGTTATGAAGAATTAACAAAAATATACAGAATCAATAACAAAATACCTTTAAGTAATAATATATAAAAATTGAATAGTACTTGTAAGGTGTTAAATGAATGATCATTGATACATACAACTAATTATAGGAATGGTTGGTCTAAAGTATTTTGATTTTGACAAATCCAAACATTTTTACAGTGGATAAATTTATTATTAATCTTTACTTACAGCAACTTCAAGAAGAATACATATACAAAACATAAAACAAAACTGAGCAAGTTACAATGCAAATACTTCTCTTTTCAGATTTTTTTTTTTAAATAAAATATATGTTTGATGTTAAAATAAATCCACTTATTTTCAATAATAGATTTGAAGCAATCTTAGGAGTATAATTGAACCAAATAGAAGAATCATCTCACTGATGACATGCTACTACTGAAGTATTAATCCAAAATAGCAATTTAATGAAATTTTGACTGCTGAACTGTGAGTGAGCAGATGCAGTTCAGTTCCTAATTTACATGCCATAATGATCAATCAATCATTTATTATACTATATAATAAACAACAGGAGTAATTATAAATGGGAATAACTATTCCATGAAGGAGAGAAGAAAATAATCTTCAATAATCCTATGCCCAAAACTAAGAAATACAATAATATGAATAAAAAAACAATTTCTAATATATATATATATATATATATATATATATATAAAAAGAAAAGAAATATGGCCTAATAGAATTCTCAAGTTAAATTCCAATTCACTTTGCTAGTAAAACCATCAAATATGCAAATTATAGCAGCAGAATATAAAATATTAAGCTTCTATGTCACAGTATTATTTAAAAAAAAAAAGTAATAATAGCGAAAACCTAATGAATAAAACAATATACTAATTTTAAGTGGGACCAAGACAATAGGATATATAAAAGACTAGTAAAACTAAGCTTCAATCTGATTTGATTAATTACTTAAAACTTTTCAGGGCTGCAAAAATAGCATCTATTAAATGTGACATAAACTTATATGGAATATGCTGAAAAAGCATGAATTAAAATAAAAATTACTTAAGATAATAAAAATTTAATGACAAGAAAACATCTCAAAGATCAACACTGAGACAATATTAAATGCTTATGAAATATGTCATAATGAAACTTAAACAGATTTATCCATATAATTCTATTAAGCAAAATATCGGTGAAATTATACAAATTCTCACGAGGACATAATAAGCTCTTCAATGTAAATTACCTTATAGGAGGTACTACAACCATTTACAAATAAGGTATAAAATACAATACTGGGCAATTAACAGTTTGTGACCTTGGTTTGAAAAGGTGCTAACTAACAACATTTGTTGTTGGGAATTGAGTTTTCATTCAGAAATCACTCACAACTTAGTTGACTATGTTCCAAATGAATTAGAGTATTCATCAGTTGAAAAATAAAGAAACAAGCAGTATGAGATAGTTCTAACCACAGACAACTTTTGAAAGTTAACTAGTTTAAGAAAGTTTTAACTGCAATTTGTATCATAGTACTTAATTCATAATTATTTTAATGAGTTAAACATGACATATCATTTATATTGTAAATAAAGATATGTTTTATGAGTATAACATATTAGAATTATTCTTTTACATTTCTGGATTCAATGTATGTTGCTATATGTGTATTCTACATATTCATTATATGTTAAACGCCAAATTACAGGAGTTTTGTTTTGGAATGATAACAGAGATTTATTATTAAAATAATAATTGAAAAAACAAAACAACAAACATGTCACTTGATCATGCATCAAAATATCACTTTAACTCTAGTTCTGACTGCTCCTTTAATCTTGTCATTAGGCCAATTGGGAATCTGATTATAAAAAGATTTATAGCATAAATAAAGTAATTCTATTATGAATGTAGTCATTTAAGTTCTAACACTGCCTAAGTCAAATCGCTATGTTTCCAAGATGTACCAAACACTACATTAATTTATAAAATTATTAGCATAACAAACAAAATATTCATAGTACCGTAAATTTTAACTTTAAAGCTCTGTTTCTTAACATAATAGTAAATATAGTTAAAACCTTTACAAATCAAGGCCACAAATTGTTAAAAAGAGTCCAAAATAGGAATTTTTGGTGAGGTACAAATACATAACACCATAGTAAGTAAGAGTACCAATATTAATAAGAGACTACAAAAAAAAAAACATGATATAATACTAAAAATACCTGTAGAATCAACATTTGGCACATTCCTTCTCTTCAATAATGTTTCTTCTCTTTTGTTCTTTCTCAATTCAATAGTTACTTCATTTCTTCTTCTACGCATTTCCTAACAATAAAAATAATCGTCAATGAAATATCTAACATGAAATAGTATTTAAATATATTAGAGGTGTTAAAGAAAATACATTCTTTATAGCAAATAAATAACCACTTAAGCACAGAATGTATAATAGTTCATTCAACAACATCATTACCTTCAACATATACAACAAATAAACTTAAAAATCATTGTCTGTCTTCATTCAATATTAAAAATCTTTAATTATCATTTAAATAACTAGTAGCAAACAATAAGTTATCATTAACAAATTATAATAATATTCAAACTTACATCTTGGTCTTTTCCTTTGTTCTTAAAAACCTGCATTCGGTTTTTTATATGTTGATCGGACGCCATTCTTCTTGACGACCCAAATGTGCTTAGCCTTCAGTTCACCCGGCAAATGTTTATTTTCAGGAAGGGTAATCCCAGCTCTTGACAGTAATTAGAAGAACTATGCTTACTAAGTCCGAAATTAAACATAACAAGTTGCGTCTAATGAAATAACTTTAGAAAGAGGAGAAGTAACACGTTTTCTGAAAATTGCATGTGTAGTAGTAACTGCACAGTGATGCCATGATTATAAAGCAGGGCAATATTATTTAATAATAATATATTTTAATAAAAATTCCAAAAGAATGTTTAGATGTAAATAATTATCAAATAAAAATCAATATTAACCTCTAAAATCACTAATTGAATACCATTTGTTGTTTTAAATAATATATATATAAATAATACTTTCAATATATCAAGAAATTATTTTATTTCATTGAAATTATGTACGTTCTAATTATTGATTTTTAAGCAATAAAATAAATAGATATGTTATTTTTCATTTCAAGAAAAGAACTTGTTTTGTCTTGTCATTTTATTTTTATTTAACTTGCCTATCCAGACTGGTAGAACTGCAATAATGTATATAATGTAGCAATAATGCAACCTACCGGTTATTGTGTGCTAAACAGTGTAAATGGTGTGGAGATTATTTGTAAACATTTTCTTGACTTTGGCATAAGAATTGCGAAAATCTCTTTATATTTTAAATGTGATAAATCGAATTTGATTTTTTTTGTATTTAGAAACTTAATTTAATTATAATTAGTGTAAGAATGGGCAAATACTCTAGTGAATCTGATTCTTCTGATTATCATAGACGAAAAAAATCTGGACGATATAGAAATAGGTACATTTTTCAAATTAATAAATAATGATATAAAGAAAATTCATATGTTTTTCAAGTAGGGTTATACATGTTATTCATAAGAAAATAGATATAAACACATAACTTTTAAATAATGAAATTTGTTAGTTTAATTGTAGGTCAACAAAAATCAACATCTAATAACATTTCTTAAACACACTGATTTAGTCAAATAACTTTTATATCATTCATTTATCACAAAAGCCACTAAGTATGTTTTTAATGGATTAAACTTTTGCTAAAATATTTGAGAATTTTGATCATATTTATCATAGCAAAAATCCATCTAATATATTAAAATAACTGTTAACTATTGTATGTGTAAAAAATAGTTATACTAAGTGCACTAGTTTACTATATTGGTTTTACTGAGTGAAAATTCATAAAATTACTTGGTGATTCAATTTTTCCAAAAATGAGACATTTTGTGCAATATATCGACTGTATTTATGAGCGTTTCCACTTACAACTTTTTCTTACAATTCATTATACTAATTTTTTTTTTAAGGAGAAGAGCTGAGAGAAATTAAACCTTCCATATTTGTAGTATAATTAATGGTGGTATTAAAATCCTATTTATTTTAACTGTCCATCGTTAGACTGAAACCCTATGTTGGACTTCAATGATTTCTTGAAAAATTTAATTCTACCTGAGTTTTATTCTTATGAATTTATGTAGAGTATCCCATTCTTGTCCATCTTGTTCTTATCAGATACTTCTTCAATGGACATAATAAAAGTTATCCAAGCTTGGTTCCCATTCTCTTAAAAAAAAAAAAAATGATTTTCTCTCTACAGAAAATTGAATGTGCCTAGATTTTGAGCAGGTTTTTTGAACTCTGAGCTCTTATTTTATTAACACCGAATTATTAAGTATATAGCAGTATATTTTGACATTATTAGTGTGTCGTGTATTGTATTAGTCCGAATTAAAAAACTAATATTTAAACTATATTTTACTTATAAGGATAAATATTTTAAATATATGTATAAAGAAGAAGATTCATTTTTAAGTGATATGAAAAGTCAAATTTATTGAATGCAAGAAATTTAAAATTAATTGTAATAAACATTTCAACAAAAATAAATTTGTATGACATTTTCAGGTCATCTAGTCATTCTTCTAGTAGTAGTAGATATTCTTCACGAAGTAAGAAGAGCAAAAAGAGCAGTAAAAAATATAAACATTCCAGAAGTCCTGATAGATATTCCAGGTTTGAAATCATCTAATGTTGTTTTTACTAATCAAGATTTTTTTTGTTGTGTATTTTTCTGTTTCTTAAATTTATATAATTTTCGACGATATATATGTTTCATAATCCATCTTCTTCAATTACTCCTTAAACTACTGAGTGAAACTTTTGCTAAATATGTACAGAAATAAAATCATGTTATAAAAGATAAATTGAAATTGTAAATTTCAAATGTTCAGAAATACAGTCTTAGGCAAAAGTATTAGGCACCCACATATTTTATTAAAACAAAGCAAAGAGGGAAACAGATAGAATCTACTTTTATTGTTTATTTAAACATAAAAAAAACTCAAATTAATATTTTGACATGAAACCTTTGTCTTTTATAACGTCAGTTATCCTTTTTGGCCATTGGCCATCATGGCTTACCACATCCAATGAGCAGGGTGGTGATGGGAATTAAAGGTTTCAAGAGGGACGTGTGTGTCAAGGATATTTATTAGATTACTATTGAATATATATAAAATTGATTTGAGCGATTGTAATGGTTCGTTTAAATACTAAGTTCATATCTGTTTACATATTAAGTTCATATGTATTCTATACTTTTATTATTAGACTTTATTACTTATTATTAAGTTTCATTGGAATATTAATTAATTCAATAAAATTTAAACATTGTTTCAAATGTTTTTTTAAACATGGTTTTAGGCATCGAAGAAAGTCTCGGGACAGATCTTCATCTAGACATCGCCAATGCAGACGAAGTGAAAAACATTCAAAAAGAAGGTCCCGGTCAAATTCTAATAGATCGTCTTATTCTCGTAACAGAGACAGATCATATTCTAAAGATCGTAAAACAAGCCCTTCTAGCTCTAAAAACAAAAGAAGCAGGTCACCTTCATTGAAACAGAGAGAGAGAGATAAGAAAAGTCCAATTTTTGATAGTATAGAACTTTTGGAAAGACTAAATAAAGCTGCTTCTGAAGCATTATCTGATAAAAACAAAAAACTTGAAAATTTATTTAGTGGTGAGTTTAGTATTTTTGTAACTTTATTCATCATATTATTATAGTATAAGAATATGTCGGAGTACAAGAGAAAAATGAATATAATGGTAATCATACATAAATTAGATATACGTTTAGAAAATTTTCTAATCATACATCAATCTAGAGCATTTTAATTGAATTAATAGATTGTTTGAAGATCATCCCAGAAAACAGTGGTGCATATTGAAATAAAGTTTCCAGTATAAATGTTTATAAGCATATTAGTCTTCAAACTGCTTTTAGTTATTTAGTATCCAATTCTCTACAAATGTTTCACATTAAAAGAACAAATTTCATAAGTTTAAAATATATATTTAACATTATAAAACTTCTTATATCTTGTTTCCAGAAGGAATTAACCATTTATTTTTATTTGACTTGATCATGAGTGCTTTTACTGTAATGTATACTTATTCACTCTTCCACATTTGTATCATCCATTGAGAAATTGTTTCCATGAAGTAGTACTAGTTAAATGAACCAATAAGTATTAATAATTAACTAACCAGATTTCCTTTTTATTTCATATATTATTTGTACACTTTTTACTTTCACATATCTATGTATGTTATATATAGTAAGAGAAAGTATTGCGATTGTGAAAATTTTTGAATCTTGAGTTTTCATCGGAAATACATGTTTTGAGGTCCCTTCAGTCCAAATGACCATGTCCCGCAAAATGGTCTGTGTGTATGTGAACAGCCTAGCTCAAAAACGAAAAGACGTTTGAAACTTAAATTGCGTATTTAAGGTTTTTATATAGTTCCGATGTGACAGCAACTTTTTTGTTAAAATCGGCTAACTGGAAGTGCCACATTATATCAACAGTGAAACATATTTTTACAATTTGCTCAAAAACGGCTCTAAAGATTTTGATTAACCTCGGTGTATCATTGTATAATTAAGTGGTCTTTAATATCATTTAGGTTTTATTCCCGTTGGTGTCACTTAACAGTGCTTAAATGCTGAATGTTCATATACGTCTTTCTGTAAAGTACCTTTAATATGGATTATTTAAAAAAAAAAAAACTCTTTTATTGACAGTAACTATAAAAAATGGCTAAATATGAAGTTTGAAAGAATATGACAATTGGAAACTGGAGAACAAAAGAAAAATGCTTATCCAGGTTGAAAATGAATCTCCTGATTGTATGCGTATAATGCATCATTGGAAAGTAGAGAATTTTAGAAAAAATAATATCAAATAAATAAAGTTGTAGAAGGTAACGGTGAGTGAAGAAAAAAATATAAATAATAATTTCAGAAAACTAACATTATTTAACGTAAATCACATGTTTCCAAGGAAATTAAAAACAATTTTCTCACCAAATGTAAACTTTTAAATTTCTTTCTGAGTTTGAAAAAAAGTATTTAAAATCCACAGAATCAAGCCAATACCATTGTTTAAAATACTATGTCATTGTACTTATGAAAGAAGAAGTGAAATATTAAAATATTTCATGGATATGAATTTTTTTTCCATTTCTGACACTTTTGCCATAGGGAGTTTTGGCAGCAGTGGGTTAATACGTTGGGAATATGTCTACTGCTACCAATAAGGATCTTTATTTTATTTTGCTTTGGATCAATTTTAATGAGTGTGTACTGTGGCGCAGCCCTGTGCACTGGAGTGCGCCTTACTGATGGAGCTGCACCTTAGTCTCTAGCTAGTTGCTCATCCTGCCCTCCTGTGTTGCTTCCTCCAGCAGCTTGATGTTGCCTCTCCCTCCTGGCCTACTGGTAGAATTCCTCTTCCTATCGTGAAGTGCCTTCTGTTTCGATTTTCCCACGAAGTGGAGGTATTTCTACTCTTCCATCAGTCGGGGAAGTTTCTCTTCATCTAGGGAGTACAGTCCCATCCTCCGCATCAATATGTCTTTGGCTTGCTCCATTGCGGTGCAAAATAAAAGATGCTCAGCCGTTTCAGTGGCACTGCACTCTGGACATAAGGATAATGTTCTTCCCATGCTTTCTGAGTTTGTCTATAGACCCCCATGTCCCGTCAGGATCTGTGATATTCGTTAGTCCAGCTTGACCCAATGTGCCTTTAATCTGGAATGAACGGTGGAGAAGTACCTTCTCAAGGTGGCTTCTTTCTCACTTCCAATCCACCGCACATTCCATCT